ACTTCAGGCTCTGGTTAGCTGTGATGCCCTCAAGCCCTTCCTGCCCCTGGATGCAAGTGGAGCTGGTCTGAACCCACCCATTTTATTTAGAGTGGACAGACCATTAAGTGATATGGCCAGGACAATGAAATACTTACTGAAGTGTTAAACACATGATGTGTTTGAATCAGTTCACTCAATGCCTCGGGCACTTTTTATTATTATGGCTATTTTTCCAATTCATGAAATTTGAAGATCAGAGAAGTTAAGTAACTTTCCTAAGGTCGCACAGTCTGTAATGGACAATGCCTGGATTTAAAAGCCCAATCGTCTAATTTTGGATACTCTATATTGCTCAGATGTCATAGACTGGAAATGACTGCTACCGCCCTCCATTCTGCGGCTCTCAGAAGCCCAAAGTCATCTTCGGTATTTAGGCAAGTTCCCAGAAGGCCAGTATTCTTGTGTTTGCCTCTGATGCCGGCCATCATGTCTGGTAACAAGACTTAGAAATGGTCCCTGAGAGTAGCATCTCCTTGCTTCATGGTTCTGCTTGTAGCTCACTGTAGCCTTCAGTGTGGGCTGGCACAGAATTCATCTCTCGGTCAGTGTCACGAGAGTCACTGCCCTAACGTGCCCAAGCATTTGATAGATTGAGCAAGGCTCCCAGATTGTTGATTCTGGAAGAATTCTTTGGAAAGAAAGGGCAGGAAGAAGAAAGAGAAAAGAAATAAACAGGGTTGTCTTCCTTATGCCTCAGAGAAGCTGCTTCTTGGGGGGCTCCTGCGGGAGAGGAAGGGAAAAAACACTTGTTTGTGCGTTGTTTATACTTGCCACTGTTCAAGGAAGGCCACATATTATTTCCTGTGCCTTTGCAAGGGGCTTAGTGTGCGCAGCAAATGAGCCCCCACAGCATCTCACGCTTTGGGCTTAACGACATCTTAGAGCAGGAGAAAGATGTGGGCATGATGGTTGAGAGTCGAGGCACTGCCGGGCTGTGCCCATGGCAGATACTGAGGTGACATCACCAGCCATGGCAGGAGCAAACGACCACCAGGAGGCAGGTAATGTTAAGAGAGGGTGGTCAGCTAGGCTCGAGTGGTCAGAGCAGTGCCCTGGGCTGTGCACCCAACTCCATGAACTGCACAGAGCTGTTCCCAGAGAGCAACAGAACCCCACTCTTGGACAGACATCCCGGCTCTCTGTGGTTCTGATTCCCACAGTGTCAGGTGCCTGCAGTTAGCTGTGGTCTGGAAATGTGAGTTGATAATTCCTAAGCTTCCATTGCACACTACCCTGTGCATACCATCTACCTCACCTGCTCTCACCATTCCACATCATCACCAGAGAAAGATGGAATATGGTCTAGAGAGAGAGAGAGAGAGAGAGAGAGAGAGAGAGAGAGAGAGAGAGAG